TCCCATTTTCCATGAACTTCTGTATCACCCTCAGTCACATGCCACATAATGACGTTTTAGTCAAAATGGACTTTCTAGGCGAGTGCCATGGCTCACTTGGCTAATCCTCCGCCTGCGGCGCCGGCACACTGGGTTCTAGTCCCGGTTGGGGCACTGGATTCTGTCCCGGTTTCGCCTCTTCCAGTCCAGTTCTCTGCTGTGGTGCAGGAAGGCAGTGGAGGATGGCCCAAGTGCTTGGGCCCTGCACCCACATGGGAGACCAGGAAGAAGTACCTGGCTCCTGGCTTCGGATCGGCACAGCGCGCTGGCCGCAGTGGCCATTTTGGGGGTGAACCAATGGAAAAGGAAGACCTTTCTCTGTCTCTCTCTCTCTCTCTGCCTAACTCTGCCTGTCATAAAAAAAAAAAATGGACTTTATACACAATGGTGGTCCCATAAGATTATATTGCCTAGTAACACAGAAGCCACATTAGTTTATATAAATACACACCATATATTTACACAACAAGAATAGTGAACAATGCATTTTTTAGACTGTATCCACACTATAAAGTGACACATAACTGAACCGTTAGTATGCATTTCAGGAACTTTCCAAACCTCTATTTAGAACTGCCCGATTTCTCAATGTATGGCATCAAACCAAGACCTCTATAATTCTTGCCTGTGTCTACTCATCTTAAACTGTTATCACATGCTCCCCACTCAGTCCTCAAAGCCTCCTAAATACCGCATTGTATTTTCCACCATCTGAGATACCAAGACTCCATTAAGGCAGTGCCCACCCAGACTACAGCAAATAGCCAACTCAGCCTTACCTTAGCAGCCCCTCCCTGGGGCAGGGAGGACTTGGGGGACTTGTCACTTAACAAGAGCCAGATTCTTGTGTTCTTGCCATGACACCCTGCTGCTTCCAATAAAAGGTACCATTACTACAGCAATGAGCTATCCTTCTCAGATTAAGTAGCTTAGGAATTTGGTGAAAAAAAAAACAAAACTGAGCAGGGCTAATCCTCATTCTCTCCAAGGTCCCCAACCTGTGGGAGGGTCTTCCCAAGCACCATGCCCTCCACACTCCATGTGGACCCTGGCCAGAGAGGTGGGGTTCCTGTGATCATCTGGACATTGATATGGGTCTACTTCATTGTAGATTAATGAAGGTAGGACTCCAATACTAAGGGGAGCCTAATTTCCAAACCCTTATAAATATGTGCATATTCTTCCAATGGGCTAAAGTCTGGGTGTTTTCATAGTTGGATGTCATGGATATGGAGATGAAGCAACCCATCAACTCAGCAAAATATCAGCATTTTTTTTTTAAACTCCAGTGCCTTGCAGCCTCATCATGTGTTTTGAATCCAATTCAGACTGAGGCTGACTCTCAAGGACAGTAGCAGGAGAGCTGACATTCACAGGGTGATGCCTCACCTGCGCTTTATAGTGCACAAAGCACTTCTGCATGCAGGGCCACCATTTGCTATCACATCCAGCTTGGCCTCATTTCACAAATAAGGAAACTAAGCAATCAGTAAGGGGGAAGGACCTGGACTTGTGCTAGTTCCCCAGTTTCTGTAACCTCAAAGAGAGAGTTCTTTCCAGAACCTAGTGCATCCACCATCAGGTCAGGGTAGCATAATGAATAAACCTAGTGGGGACAGTACTGCAGCACAGGGAGCTTAAGCTGCCTCCCGCAACACCAGTATTCCATATCAGAGCACTGGTTGGAGTCCTGGCTGCCCTGCTTTCCAGCAAGCTCCCTTCTAATGCACCTGGAAAGGCAGTGGAAGGTGGCCCAAATACTTGGGCCCCTGCCACCCATGTGGGAGACCAGGATGGAGCTCTGGGCTTCTGGCTTTGATCCGGCCCAGTCCCAGCTGTTGTGGCCATTTGGGGAGTGAATCAGCAGATGGAAGATCTCTGTCTCTCTGCCTTTCAAATAAATGAATAAATCTTTTTTTAAAAAAAGAGAATAGGCCTAGTTGTTAAGAGCTAGACAGCCTGGATTTAAATCCTGGCTCTGCCAATTTTAAGCTGATTACCACGGATAAATTCTTAACTTCTCTCTGCTTCAAGCTCCTTGTCTGTAAAATGAGGATAACAGTACTCACAGGGTTATAAACAGTACTTCATATGACATAGGTAATGTCTAGTACGTGGTAAGTTCTCAATAAATTCAAGCTATCATTATTGTGGAGGTAGAACATAACAATCTCTCACTTCACTCCTGAAGCAGTTTGTAGTCCTGGAATCACATTGCTAGATGTCAACAATGTGACTATAATAAACAAACTCAGAACTGTAGCTACAAGTGGGAAGGATCAAAGGGAAAAAAATTTCTTTTCACTAATTGTTACAAATATTGCAACATTAACCTCCCAGAGAGCACAGATGGTAAGAGAAAGGAACTGTCTCCATTGCTCTGCTCAGGGCTGAAATAACACAAGAACCAGAAGACATAATAACTGGGAGCTCAATTTGATGACAGTAGGAATAAGAGAGAATCAGAGGGGAATGGAGGGGCAGGGTAGGAGTGGGGTGGGGGGAGCTTGGATTTCTTACACAAAAATTTTACAACTGGTTTGGAATCTACCATTCATTAAGTGTGGGGGTGTCATATAACAAGACAGCATAGAAAGCTTGTGATGGCAGAACACTGAGCTGGCTGGCAAGGAGAGATGAGGGACCAAAGGCTCTTGGTTGCAGGGTTTTCAACCATCAGTGACTAAACATACAGATAAAAAGGATTCACTAGGAATCCCCTGCAACTGACTGATGCACTTGAGTTGACAGAACATTCCCACAAGAAGATGCACGTCTGAGAGTTTGAGGCATGGTGTATTGCTTTGTAAGGTAAGTACCTCCAAGGGGAGGACCCAGAAACGGGAGACCTCATGGTGATGTGTGTGGAACTCCTCCATTTACAAGCTCTGTGATTCTGGGTAACTGACTTAACCTCTGCACTTCAGTTTGCAAATGTGCAACCATACCTATTTAGGGGCTTGCCATGAAAACTAAATGAGGGTCTGGCACTGTGACATAGTGGGTAAAGCCACCGCTTACAATGCCAGCATCCCATATGGGCACTGGTTCGAGACCCATCTGCTCCACTTTCAATCCAGCTCTCTGCTGTAGCCTAGGAAAAGCAGTGGAAGATGGCCCAAGTCCTTGGGCCCCTACACCCATGTGGGAGACCCAGAAGAAGCTCCTGGCTCCTGGCTTTAGATTGGCACAGCTCTGGCCACTGAGGCCAAGTGGGGAGTGAACCAGCGGATGGAAGACCTCTCTCTCTCTCTGCCTCTCATTCTCTCTCTGTGTAAGTCTGATTTTCAAATAAATAAATAAATCTTAAAAAAAAGAAAACTAAATGAGATAGCATGTCCTAGGTGATGCACTTTCCAGAGGGGACAGATAGTAGTCATGATGGTGTTAGTAAAGACAGAGACAGTATAAAGTTCAGAAGTCAGAAGAGAGATTTCAAAATAATAATCCTTTGGGAGTTGTGAAGGGAAACATTGGGGAATGTGGTTGACACTGAACAATGACAGTGGGTGTGCTTTGTTGACTGCTCTTGGTGCATGTCAGGAAGGGAAATCAAGGTTCAGTGAGGACAAGTGAATAATTGGAAGGTTACAGTACCAGAACTAGAGGTGAGAAAAGCTTGAATTAGACACCGAACCCAGTTCAAAAATGTACCAATTTAAGATCTGCCATATTTGAAGCCACCAAATGATGCTCTGGTGGCTAAGAGAGAGGAAGTCTCTGGAAAAAGAAGCTCATAAATAAAGTTGCAAGCACAACTAGACACACTTCACTTTGTATAATGCAAATATTAGTGAAGGTATGGGTTATCAATAAAATTGTAGTAAATAGGCTCATAGCCCATATGGTAGATAAATTCATTTATTAAAAAGAACCTTGAAGGAAATTCTTTTGTAAAAGGAAGAAGAACCACTTTGCAAAACTGCTTGACAGTGTCTACAGAAGGTAAACACATGTATATCCTATGACCAACAACTCATGCCTAGAGATTGCCCCACAAAAGTATATGTCTATACAATAGAAATGACTGCACATTCTCACAAAAGACATGCTCCAGAATGATGCTAGGCAGCAAATTTCATAATGGCTAAAAAGGAGACCACCCACATGCTCATAACCAGTAGAACAGATTAATATACTGTGATGTAATGGAATATTATATAGCAATGATAACAACTAGATCACAATTACACAAACCAACATGGATGGATCTCACAAACATAACCATGAGTAAAGGGGGGCATACTCTGTACTTCCTTTTACATGAATTTCAGAGCATTTAAGACTTATCCAGGAGCCTAGCAGTTAAGACACCCACGTCCCACATTGAAGTACTTTTGTTCAGTTCCCAGCTTTGTCCACTGATTCTATTTAGCTGCTAATGAAGATTCTGGGAGGTAGCAAGTGATGGCTCAAGTAAGTGGATTTCTGCAACACACATCAGAGATATGGCTTGTAATCTCAGCCCTCGGCTCTGTCCTGGCCCAGGCCTGGCCATTACAGGCATTTGGTGAGTACACCAGAAGGTTGGACTGTGACATTTCTCTCCTTTCTCTCTCTTTCTCTTTCTGTTTCTCTCTCTCTAACCTCATCTTTGTCTCTCTCTGCCTCTCAAATAAATAATAACTTTAAAAGATCTTATCTAGAGTAATGTGAGGCAGTGATAGGAAGATGGTATGGTATGGGGCTTTGGGTGAGCCAATATTATTCTATATCTTCATCTAGGTGTTATTTGCATAGGTATGTTCATCTGTGAAAAGTCATCAAGTTGTATACTGAGGATATACACATCTTTCTATTGTGTGTTATATTTAATACAATGTTTGCACTAAAAGGAAGAGACTGACTGACATCTACTATTTGTAGACACTGTGCTAGGAACTTCATTTGCATAATCTCAATTGACCTTGATGGATAACTGTATGAGGTTAAATATTATCTCCACTACTACACTATTTTTTTTTCAACTTTATTCATATGATTTTATTTTCTCCCTTCAACCATAATGATATGATATCCAAATTTTGTCTTAACTGGTGGATCTGTGGACACAGGCTTATCCATCCCACTCACAGGCAAGGCAAATGCTGCTTCTTGAAATGGTCCCACCATGGACCCTCTGGTCATCCAACCCAAGTCGCCCCCTTGCCTGGCTTTATCTTCACTATATTGTGCGGCCACTTCACTGAATTTCATTCCGGACTTTAATTTTTCCATGGCTTCCATGATTTTGCCATGCTTTTCACACAGAATGTGTCTGACCTTTACTGCATTGCCACCACCTTTGGGACCCTGAGCCTTTTTGTCCGCATTGTCACTCCCAGAAGCTGCTCCTCCTTTCCCCCCTTTTCCGGAACCACTTTTTCCTTTGGGTGGCATCTTGGAAACTTCCACTACTACACTATTTTATCAAGGTCAAACAGCTTACATTAGTAGACCATGGTTCAGTGACTTTTTTTTTTTTTTTGAAGCAAACCATCACAAATAGGACATTTTATTTGTCACTATTAAAGTCTAAATTTTAAACAGATTCTTGGACGGGTGGTTCATAGCCATCAGCTCGTTCGACTTTTGCACCCATCTCATCCCCAGTGGCTTTTCCAGAACTGCTACCTTCTCCATGAAGCTCCATGAGTTTTCCCAATTCAAACTTGGGCTTCTTCAGCATCTTCACTTTTCTAACGAAGACATCGTGGAGAGGATAAATAGATTGGCAAGCCTTCTCTATGTCTTTCCCAATGCTGTCTGGGATCAATTTATTGACTACTTCTTTCAAGTCATTTGTTTGCACCTCCCATGTCATGATTTCCATCATCTTCTTCCAGATCTGGCGGACCTGCTGGTGCTGAGCTTAGGAAGTCTTCTGTATCTGATTGTTGCATTTTTTGGTAAAACCAACACAGAACAGATGAAGCAAATAGCCATCGGTAGTCTTGACATCAACATGAGCTTCAGTCATGGTCTGCCATTTTTTGACCATGTCATGGGTAAGATCCATGCAGTGGAAGTTAGTCAGGCAGTTTTTGCCCTGAACATCCTCCGTAATCAGTTTGAATTTTCTAAATGCAACTTCATCATTCTGCAGGTCAGCAAGACTCACTTCAAAAACACGACCCTAGAGTCCATCAGACGCAATTTTGGTTCCTTGGGTCCTCGTGACCAGTGTTTTCCCAATATTTCGTATGTTGAACATAGCAGGTGCCTTCACATCATACCAATCTTTCTTAGAAAATGGGTCCACCACTTTCTTCTTGGCTCCCTTTTTGCTGCCTTTTGTAAGGTACTTGTTCTTGCCGACAGCCATGGTGGTGCTCAGAGAGCCAAAAGGGCAGTTCAGTGACTTTTAGAAGCTCAGGATGTTCCCACAGAGCCATGTTATACTCCATGATGAATCTTTTGGTAATAATAAATAACTATTTTTTGATGAATCTGTACCTTGCATTTGTTAGGTTTCTTTGCCATTTAAAGTGGGATTCCCATTAAATGCTATTTATTCCTCTTAAATATCATCTATTGTTGTGGACACTTTTAATAAAATACAAAGACTCTATGACAAATGGAATCTAATGAAATAAGCTACATGGCCAACTTGCAAAATGGAAAGATTGCCAAGTTTCCTTCTCATGAAGAAAATGTGTACAATGTGAATAAAAGCTGGAAAATCATTAAAAACTTTCATAGCAAGCCTTCTCATAAACCAAACTGACACCTATCTTTCCCTGTCTCTCAAGTTCCTCTCCAAGCCTGCAGGTGGTAACATAAAAATCCTCAATTGAAATTGGCTTCACAGGAGTGATAGGATGTAACTGTCCAGAAGCTAGTGGAGCAGAATCTCATTTGGAATTGGGCCCCTGCAACTGAATCACTGGTGCAGCAAGAGGGGAAAATGAAGACTGATTCATGAAGACCAGAGGGCTAATCCTGTGAAAGCAAGATGTAAAATCCTGCATGGCTATTCTGAAAGCCTTCCCTTTCCAGAGGTTCTGGACTCCTTCTCTGCTTGTGTGCTTGGAGGGTTTGCTTCCCTCATCCTTTATGTTCGTGTCATCTTCCTTTCCCTCTCATACTGGCTTCAGGATATTTCAAAGCCTGGGATAGGCTCTGAAGCCAGACAGTCTGGACTCTAACCTCAGATCTACCATTGACTATGGGATCTTGGGCAGCACTCAATCTTCCAGTGCCTCACCTATCCCACCTCTAAAAATGGAGATGATAATATTATCGACCTCACAGAGTTGTAATTAATAAATGAACTAGCACAGGTAAGATACTCAGAATAATGCTGGGCACACAGCACCAAGTAAACATTAGTACTTGTTACTATTAATTATATACTATATTCTCCATGTATTCAATTCCCAAAGAAAAAACTAATTTTCCTTCTTGATCATTTCTGATTTTTCACAATATTTGTTAGTATCTCAATGTGTATTTATTTATCTTCAATCTTCTCCCATAAGAGCATTATCTCCTTGACAACAATGACTTTATCTTTCTTGTTCACTATCCTATATCTGATCGCCAAGTGTAGTTCCTGGCACATAGAAGGCTCAGTAAACATCATGAGAATAAATGAACTACAATTACAGCTGTCCTTCATTATCCAAATTATTTCAATTTCTGCAATTGAATAGCAAGTCTGGACAGTGATAGATGCTGTATTATCCAAATCTGTTTACTTCCTGATTTTCTGATAGCACTAATAGCAAGAGTTTCAAGAACAAGTAATTTATCTGAAAATGCAGTTGTAGCTATTTGGTTTCTGATTTTTAATGAAAAAGATGTCTACAGTTGAAAAGAATGACAAACAAAGGCATCCCTTGTTTCTCTCTGGAAATTTCCATAAGCAAATAGGCCTTTGCAGTAGCTTCTGCCCACTTTGCCTCTGTGTCCCTGCCCCCCTTCACCTTCCTTACCACTCTTATCTCAACACCTAGATCATAATTGCTGGGAGAGGGTAGCCTGCGATGTTTCAGCACCACGGACAGCAACATGCTGGCTGGAGGTTTTTTGTTTTTTTTTTTTTGATTTATTTATTTTATTTGAAAGTCAGATTTACAGAGAGACAGGAGGAGAGGCAGAGAGAGAAAGGTCTTCCATCTGCTGATTCACTGCCCAGTTGGACATAACGGCCAGTGTTGCACTGATCCGAAGCCAGGAGCCAGGAGCTTCTTCTGGGTCTCCCACGTGGGTGCAGGGGCCCAAGGACTTGGGCCATCTTCTACTGCTTTCCCAGGCAACAGCAGAGAGCTGGACTGGAAGTGGAGCAGCTGGGACTCAAACCGGCACCCATATGGGAAGCCAGCATTGCAGGCAGTGACTTTACCCACTAGGCCACATCACCGGCCCCCGGAGGGATTTTGAATGAATGCTTTATTGTATGGTTCAGAATATGAGGAATGAAGTTGCTCAGAGTTAAGGAAGATCTTATACAAATTCCTTTATTTTGCTATGGACTGCACTGAGTTTTTTTAAAAGATTTATTTTATTTATTTGAAAGAGTTACAGAGAGAGGTAGAGACAGAGAGGTCTTCCATCTGCTGGTTCACTCCCCAGATGGCTACAACAGCCAGAGCTGAGCCAATATGAAGTCAGGAGCCAGGAGCTTCTTTCAGGTCTCCCATGCGGGTGCAGGGGCCCAAGGACTTGGGCCATCTTCTAGTGTTTTCCCAGGCCATAGCAGAGAGCTGGATTGGAAGAGGAGCAGCCAGGACTAGAATCGGTGCCCATATGGGATGCCAGTGCTTCAGGCCAGGGCTTTAACTGCTGCACCACAACACTGGCCCTGCACTGAGTTTTAAAGAAAAATAATTCATAAATGAGTTTTTGTTTGTGTAATTAATGGAAATGAGTTCCTCTCTATAAAGAAAGTAACAGTTTGGGGTGTCTTTATGTTCCAAGTATGGTACATAATAAAATAAACTTACTTTTTCAACTCATATTAGTACTATAATGGCACTGAATTTAGAGCCAGAAAGACCTAGGTTAAAATCCTGATTCTACCTTGAGAAAGTTACTTAACCTCCTTAAGCCTCTTTTTTAAAATCTATAAAATGCAGACAGTATTTCCTATAGCTGTAACACCCAGTCTAAAATTCGTCTTTATAAGAAGTCTCATAAAATTCTTGCAAATTTGAGATAACAACTACTTACAGCAGGTGAGTGAAAAGTAGGAGGCAATCTATCATTAGGGTACCAGATCTGTGAGACAGTAAGGATTCCACTCTAGAACCAGTGAGAGAAGAAGGATAGGATGCATGTGGTTGGCTCTGTGGGTGGTAACAGGCAAGAGCCAAATTTCAGAGCAAGCCAAACAGTCTTGAAAAACCTCTCTAATGGCCAGGACCATGTCTTCCATTTCTTTCTAACTCCCACAGTAGCTACCATAGGAATTGCACATAGTAAGTTATTGACAAATGTACACTTATCAAATAAGTGGTTTTGATGATTCTCAAAGAGCATCTGATGGTCTCGGTGCCATCTACAAAGATTACAACATGCTGCAATGATGGCTAGATCTAACAAGCAGAAGTGGAAGTGAGGCAACTCTGGGGTTCTACAGGTTGGCCCAAAAACTACTCAATATCAAGATGGGAAGATGGAGGTGTTTGCCCTAATTTCTCTTTACTTACCCAATCAACAACTATTCATCAAACACCTATTGTAAGTCTGTCACTGTGCTAAACCATAGGGCTAGAACAGATAAAGATTACATTCTTGTGTGGGAATACAGATGTCTCTTTTAAAAAGCCCACTGAACTACATAAACTATAACGAATATGCACTGTGTAAACCTATGAGTTTGGATACAAGTCTAGGTAGTGAAGGATGCTGCCCAATGTCTTTGCTGTTCTCCAGCCTTCACCCAAAGAATAACTAGGACTCTGGAGGGATCTGAGCTCGGAGGGTGGGAATTTACTCAATAAGTGTTTGACTCTACTCAGTTGCTGAATGTGGACAAAGAGCCCCACTTGCTGAAATAAGCTGGGTAAAGAAAACAAACAGGAGGCTGATATGGAAAAGGGAGAGGGGGACCTTTTCTACCCAGCAGGGTGCTAAGAAGGAATTTTGACTTTTAATTGCTCGCTCTAGTGATTTAGAAAAAAAAACAGCTGAGCACAAAAAGCTTTATATGTTCATATTTAAGTTCAAAAAGCTATCCGCTTAGGGGACTTCAGAATATTTCCTCACAGGGCTTGTTAAGAGTAATCAGGGTGAAGAATCAGCCCTATCCACCACCACCACCCCACCTTCCCTGGCTAATGTGTGAAGAGGATCAGGGGCTACAAGTGGGGGGCCTTGTAGGAAGTGCTCTATTCCCTCTCCTTGCTCCTTCACAGGAAAGGAATGGGCACTTTCTCCCTGTGGCAGTCACCAGTGATCTCTCTCCTCCCTGTATACCCAATGCT